GACGGTCCTGGAGGGTTTAAAGAGGGAAATCATACATAAACCTTGTATTCCTCCATCTCATTTTTCAGTTGTTCTCTTCACCTTTCCCTCCTCTTCCTCCTCTTCCTCCTCTTCCTCCTCTTCCTCCACTTCCTCCTCCTCCTCCTCCTCCTGCCACTGATTGTGTGGTAGTGTACCATGTTGCTATCTCTGCTAAGTTGTCAATCATTGTTCCAACAATCTGAGAGTACATGCAGGATGATGGTGCGAGCTTCTTCTGGACTCGGGCTCGTTACACACCATAAAGAGAGTCTAGATGGTGCAGCCGGATTAAAAAAATAAAAAAAGAACAACCACAAAGAGAGTTTAGATGGTCCAAAAGGATTGTGGAAAAAAAAAAGGGGTTGCGAGGCATAACGTCCCGACGAGCCCCTTGGTGGCCCTGTAAGCAGCACTGTCGGCCGCCCTAAGTGAAGGCAGGCCCAGCCAAGGCCAAGAGGGCTATTTTTCGGCCACCACGCATCTTGGGAAAATTCAGGCAGTTGTGTAGCGCCAGTTGGTTGAGAGCGCCCAGGCCCTGGCTGCCTTTATTGTACGTAACCAAAGCAGGCCCTGGGCCAGATACACAACATGGGCCGAGCACAGACTGCTGGCAGTTGGGCACAGGCAACCGTCACAAACCCTGGGCCTGATTCGTTTGGACCGGGGCTCAGCCTCTCTGGGCCTACCAGAAGCTTCTGGACAAGGGCCCAGCGCAGCCAGGCCGCACGCAGCTGGCAGGCCACTTCCATATAGGAAAGGGCCTGCCCCCACATTGGGGATTCGGGCACTGGCTGCATGCTGCGCAAGCGCTGCTGCGCTATCGCTGGCCAGGCCCACGAGCTCACAGGCGAGCTGGATGAGCAGGCAGCCATAGCCGAGCTGCGCTGCACTATGCTGGATGGGGCGCATGGTGGTCCTTGGGTGCATGTGGCATATGTGAGTGGGGGATCGAGGTTGTGAGTGATACGAGAGACATACCTGGTGCTTGAGGCGAACGGCATTGGCCGAGATCTGCTTGTACTTCGGGGAGCTGTTGACGTCACCAGCGGCATTGTAGATAGGTTAGATAGGATCTGCCATTTGTAGTCTGGGCGCAGAGCGCCAGATAGGATGTCGACATTGGTTCGTTGTTGATGATGATGAGACTATTCCAACATTGTCACTTGTGAGCCTTTGCTGTGCTCTCATTTGGCGGAACTCGTGTTGCGATTCTTCTTTTGGTTCGAGGTCACGACTATCTGGCCTCATGTGTATGATGCTGCTTGGTTTCTGAAGTTCGCTATCGCTCATTTTCCTTGCAGGGTGCTTTGCAATGGAAGCGGCTCCTAAGACAAACCAGAGAGCACTGAGCAGATCGAGATGAGTCGTGATATAAAGCCCTTATCCTCGTTAAGAGTCTGAGTCAGAATGACAAGTGGATAGAGACTGCTCGCAACTTATTCTGTGGATTTTGCACTGTAGAAAATCCCAGCATGTAAAGCATTTTGACTGTCAATCACTCGATTCGAGCTGTCTGTGGACTCCGCTCCAGAAGACAACACAACACACACATTTGGATGCTTCTCGAACCGATACATTCAAAATGTTGGACTTGCAAATGCACCTGCTCCGCAGAGCATCCAAATGCATGTAGAGTGTTGTGTAGTGGAGCGAGGCCCAATGTCTACCGGAAAAGAAAAACCTGCTAATTACATTACAGCCTGTTGATTAAAGACCCAACCCCCAAAAAAAGTAAAAAAAAACAAGGAGGCCTGCTGAGTCATGCTGACTACATTCCCTTGTCTCCTCTCCTCGTCCTTCATTGTAAAACACAAATAACAATGAAAGTAAAGAAAAAAGCTTGCTGGGTCGTGCTGACTACATTTCATTGTCTCCTTTCCTCACCCTTCATTGTGAAACACAATTTGCAATCATCATCAGTTTTGGACATAAGTTTCATAGAGCCCTTTCCCACCCAAACGATTCTGGATGTACATAAATGTATCTTAACGCCTTACGGCCGGACCTGCATGCCTCTGACTGCAATTTAGGTCCAGAACAAAGTAAAGACTCAAGAGGTCCTACTGTGGCTATGCCCTCTGAGTAGAAAAGACGAGGATACAAGCAGGTACCAACAGCCCATGTGGCTGAATGGTACACAGTACTACCATTAACTGCTGATACCCTGAGTTCAAATCCTCCCAGGGACTCGTTGCATTCTCACACTATACAGAAAAAAAAGAAAAATGATGATACACTGATACAACCAGGTCGAAATCAATTCTCCATTGCTAAGCACTCAGTGAACCCTCTGCTTTGTGCTGTGGGAAAAAGAGAAAGAAAAAGAAAATCCTCCAAAATCTGCATTCTAAAAAATCATATCATGAAGAATACTAGGACCTACCAACGGGTCTCTCCAAGACAATCTGCACTGGACCCCATTAGCCCTGAATCACATCAGAGAACTTGACCATTTACCTCTCCGACCAAAATGACAGGCCTCTTCTGGATTTTCAACAAACTCTGGCCACTTCCAAAAGGGAAACGGAGACAATCTGACCAAGCACTCCATCGAAACACTGATGACACCCCCCAGACTAAATCCCTCTGGAATCAAATTCTACACAACTGGAGAATAATCTTCCCAGAGAACAGAACAGTTCTAAAGAAAAATGATGACGCCCTTAGACAACCCTTCTTTGCCAACCCACCGATCAAGAATGACAAAGGGGAAAGCCTCCCACTCTCGAAGTCAGATCCCAAATGGGGGCACTGGCTAAAAAAGGGAATATGGCAAATCAAACATATCTGGGATGATCCAAACAAAACGATTACCTGGAAAACAGAAGGAGACCTAAGAGATAAACGAAAAGGAGTACATCACTTACAAACTAACTTAAGCCACATTGTAGACTGCATTCCCCTACACTGGCGAGCCCTACTAAAATCAGATAAAAAGTGGCAATATGGAGACTGGGGTATCACCACTGACTCCCCATCAATGCAGGAAGTCATTTCATTCAAGAATTACGAACCCCACAACAGGAGTTGGATATGCTGTGACATATACACCTTAGAGGAACCGGGAAACCCGGTAAGTTACAGCACTATAAAAAGCAGAGCAGAAGGAGCATTCAAAAGCAACAACTTCAAAATCATAGAAGGAGAAAGAAAAAGTCTATAAACACCACCTTAGCGTTTATGATCTAGAGATCAATCCTACGGAATGGACGTGGATTTCTTTTGGTTCCACCCTAATCTCAAACTCACGCAAGCTAACTGACTACACACCCAAACTAGGTTATCGACTCTTCACCAAACCCATATCAATATCCAATACAATATGCAATAGGTGGACAAAGGAGGAACCACAACTAGCCAACACCCACTTCAAACTTTCCTGGGCTACAGTATTCTCCACAAGACCCGTTAAGCTAGCCAGCCTGACATGGCTGATAGCCTTCGGAGAAGTCCCGGTAAACCAATGGTTGGCCAACGGATGCAATCAAGGAAACAGATCGGAACAGGATTCCTGGTGCAAGGTATGCAACCTCGATAACCCGGAATCCCTGAACCACTATCTCATGGACTGCCCAAAGACCAGATCCCTCTGGCAAGCTCTAGAATCATCATGGCATGGCTCAAAATCTCAGACTCTCCACTTCTAATCAACCCTGCCACATTATTCCTTGACCTCAAGCAATCACCCCCGCTCGAAGGCTTTGAAGCTTTCGTCTCCTCCCAAAAAAAAAAAAACACCCTATGGGCCCTATGGAAAAACAGATGCGACAACACCTTCGATGACCACCTCAGAAAACCCACTCATCATCATCAAACAACTAATAGACACCGAAATCCGTGCCCTCTGGAAAAATCAGCTTTGCAAGCTCCCAACTGACTCGGACGAAAAAAAAAACAAATAATAAAAAGGTTAACAACCTCCAAGCTAGGCAATGGGCTACTAGGCACAATTAACAACGACAGACTAACTCTCAAAAATTGGCTAACCATAACACAAATACAAAGCGCCTCTACAACCCCCCTATCGCACACACAATCAAACCCAAACCAACCATCCAGTAAAGATCCCTCTCCCCCCATCAATCCCACTCCTTCCCCTCCCCCCCCCCCCCCTCACCCCCCAAGCGTCAGTCTCCAGACCTCCACAATCTCCTCCTACCTCCCCTCTCCCCACCCCTGCCCCCCCCACATCCTCCCTACATCACCCAGTACACCATGGCTAACTAAAACCCCCAAACTCAGCCAACCCCCAAACCTCAACAGCTCCCCTACCAAGAATACCTTCACCGAAATCCAAGCAATACCTAGAATAGAGACCAGCCCCAGCAACCATATCAGGCTATGATATAGAAACGACCTCCATATACAGGTCAAAGACAAAGAAATATTAAGCTAGGGTTTAGGGTTCTAGCACCAAATACAGGATAAGACCAGATTCCCATTAGAACAGGCTAACTTAGGCAGCGTTGAAGGGTGGTGCATCCTTCCTTTAGGAAGTAATCAATCCCGTTTTTCGGACCTCCACACCACAAGGGGGAGGAGCGCGAGTGAGTATTCATTGTAATCCTTTCCGACTTGCCGGGGGAATAGGAACCGGACTGATGCTCCCCAGAATGGAAAAGGAGCCGGAACCATGAGGTTCTGTTTTGAAAAAAAAAGCAAAACAAAAAAAAGGACCTACCAACGGGCCTAGCCCAGTCGGTACACTCAATGAACTGCTGAAATACAGACCCAAGTTCGAATCCAGATGCAATCAGGTGAACAGAATAATAGAATCTGAATTACACGGGCCTGGTCAGTTCAATGATGATATCTCATGGCCGTTGCGCTTGGGGAGAACCAAAAAAAAACAAAACTGCAGAAGCTCAATCCACTTGGCAGTAAGGAAAAGAATGGCGAGTGCAAGTTAGCGGGTAGAAGCCTCACCACTTAACAGCGTTTCAGACGTATGGAGAGCTCACCAAGGCCCTCAGCCTGTCTAATCTGTTCCCCCTTCATTGTGAACAACAGAACAACTTTGCAATTGTCGGATTCGTCACCACTTTTCCACAGAAAGCTCTCTCTCAGTCACGATTTTAGTACCGTTCTACGCATTCATAGTGATGAATATCTGATTCCCAAGTTGTCTGGTGCTTCTCCGTTTTTGCATCTTTTTCCCACTGCCGTGTGGTTGATTTGAACTTCCAAGCAATGCTCCTCATTCCGGCTAGGGCCATTTTTTTTTCAGAGTTTGTGTTTTCAGGGGCAACCGATGTGTCCTCCTTGATGCCTGTGCTCCCTCAGGAAACACTGCCCAGTGCCTTTTTCTTTTTTTTTGGCTTTTTTTCTGCCTGGTATCTTCATCATAACCAGAAGCAGAAAAGAGCATCCTAAACAAGCAGACCAGCTCAGTGCTGACAGGCTCACCACCCATAAATCAGTTCAATACAACTTCCGGTCAAGTGACTCAAGTCCAAGTCACCACAGTCACTTGCGTGATTCCATCGCCGCTATCGCATCGAATGTGCAACAGCACGTTCCTCACGCCCCTTAGCCTGCAGGTAACATGAATAAGAGACAACATGGAAACCGCATGTCAATGCTGTCCCACAGGTGCACAACGAAGATTTTGCAACCAACATAAGGGCTGCAGGTGACTCGTCTAACCAGTGTGACTTTCAAAAGGTGACCAGGGCCCTCGGCACATCACTCGCCGAATGTGAAAAAAAAATCAAAACATACACAAATATGGCAGGCCGGGTGGATCTTTCCACATTCTAGCCTGAAAGGACAAATACATTCTCATTTTCCACATTTGGTCAGTAGTGCGGCAAGGCCCTTAAGGATCCATGACTCTCATGAAGACACCAGGGCTGTGGGGGTACTAACCATATGCACAGACAATTGTTTACAACTTTACAGTGTTTTACACCCACGTTGTGGCGATGCTGTCACTATGGATCACATCACGCGAACGTAGTTGACCGTTCTCTGCAGCCAAAGTGCATGCAGTTACATTGCCGTAGCAAAAATTTCAGTCTTTTTCTTCTTCTTTTTCCCCCATTAGGAACTTACTGTGCATGACATTTTTTTTTTCGCCAGCACCTATGGTTAGCACTCCCGAACCACCGCCGCGGTGCTACTGAGCGAATTCGCATTGTGCAGCCGGCCCCACATGTGGTTAACCAGGGGTGTTATTACAGTTATTTCCGGCGAATTTTGCACCGAAACTGTCACATTGTGCTGATTTTTGCTTTTTTTGTTGTTGTTTTTTTTATACATGTGATTAGGGTACGTCATGTGTCCAGTTTTTACATGTTTGGATCAATAATGAAAAAGTTGGCATTTCATTGAATTCGTTGGATGCTTCATTTTAACTCGGATAGTGTTTTGTAGAGTTTTATAGTGTTTTTTTGTTTTTGTTTTTTTCGTTTTCTTTGGCCTGTGCGAGGCACAAGGCCTCGGTAAGCCCTACTGGGCCCTCTTTTCAGTACAGTCGGCCGCCCTAAGTGAAGGCAGGCCTAACCAAGACCTATTTTGGGGTCTCCACGCTACTGGGGAAATTCAGGCAGTTGCGCAGCGCCAGTTGGTTGAAAGTGCCCAGGCCCTGGCTACCTTTATCAAATGCATCTGAGTCAGGCCCTGGGCGAAATACGCAACAAGGACCCAACTCAGGCTGCGGGCAGTTGGGCACGGGTAACTGTCACAGGCCCTGGGCCTGATTCGCTCAGACTGGGGCTCAGACTCCCAGGGCCTACCGGAAGCTTCTGGGCCGGGGCTCGGTACAGCCACGTCGCACGCAGCAGGCAGGCCACTTCCAATTAGGAAAGTGCCTGCCCCTGCATTCCTCATTCGGGCACTGGCTGCATGCTGCGCAAGCACTGCTGCGCTAAACGCTGGCCAGGCTCACGCGCTCACGGGCGAGCAGGGAGAGGCAGACAGCCATAGCCGAGCTGCGCTGCATAGCTGGATGGGGCGCATGGTGGTCCTTGGGTGCATGTGGCATCTGTGAGTGGGGGATCGAGGTTGTGAGTGATGCCAGAGACATACTTGGTGCTTGAAGCGAACGGCATTGGTCCGAGATCTGCTCGTACTTCGGGGAGCTGTCAACGTCACCAGCAGCATTGTAGATAGGCTAGATAGGATCTGCCATATGTAGTCTGGCCGCAGAGCGCCAGATAGGAGTTCGACATTGGTTCTTTGTTGATGATGATGAGACTACTCCAACATTGTCACTTACGAGCTTTTGCTGTGTTCTTATTTGGTGGAACTCGTGTTGCAATTCTGCTTTTGGTTCGAGGTCACAACTATCTGGTCTCATGTGTATGATGCTGCTTGGTTTCTGAAGTTCGCTTTCGCTCATTTTCCTTGCACCTGTTTCTTTTTTTGATGTTTGCACTATGGGGCCATATCGTTCTTTTTAAAATTTCGAAGGGGAAGGCACACGCAACGACGCGCCGCGTCTACGGGCATGGTGAGTCACTCCATAGCTTTCATTAGAGCATAGGAAAATACAATGGCCATGACCTAAACAACAAAGGGAGGAAACTCCCCGTGGAAGGAGACGAGGGTGAAAAGAAGAGGGGGAGAGTGTTCGGATTTTCCGCTTGGGCATCGCGCGACAAGGACAGAAGAAGAACCATCTATTTTGCGGTAAAGGGAGGAGGGAAATCATCACTACGTGAAGCACGCAGCTGTCGACAAACAAGCTACGGTGTCCCCAGAAGCAGCGATTGAAGCTCATTGGCTCGAGGTAAGGCCTAGTGACATTTTCATACTATCTGGAGGAAAGGACAAAGTAATCATCTCCCGGGGTAAGACGGTGAGGTTAATTAGCTCGACAAGTGACACACAGGCAGGAACGAGTGTTTGCGTTAAAAGGGCGAGAGACTGCTAAGGGAGGAAGAAGCGGATGTGGTGGGTAAAGAACAGTGAGAAGGGAAAGGAAAGACGGGCGGGGTGAATACAGACACGAAGGTACGAGGGAGGAGATAATGGGGAGCGAAAGAGGAGGGAGGATAAGCGGGTGAAATTCAAGAAGGGCAGGAAGGAGCGAAATCCGGACTGGATGAGGAACCGGCTTGAACTGCAAGCACGGGACAGTACAAAAAGACAAGCGACAAGAGGGCGGCAAATTCAATGGCGAATTCACCAATCCTAAGAAGGGGCAAGCATCCCATAGAGTCAAGACACCACACGAACGACTCCGGGGGAACACTCGACAGAGTAAGTTGGATTCTCTGAAAGAGGAAACAAACTAAAAAGGTAAGAATACCATTTCTCTATTTCCACTGCAGAAGAAAGGGAAACCTGAGAGGAGACACCCACCTCCTATCGATCAGAGTCAGAGCGGGGAAACAGCGTCGTTCAAGAGCGGATTTTTGGAAGTTGACAGAGCAGAGCCGGTCGTTCTCTTCAGACTGCTTCCTATCAGATCCACGGCGGATAGAACGGAAGGGCACAGAAAGGAAACTCCCTTCGTCGTATCTCTTACGGATAGACAGACTGCTTCCTACAAGAGGAACACACCAGATACATAGAGCGAGCATACACACTGGGCAAGGATAGCAGCGAGGATCATGGCCTCGCGGATAACCTTTGCACTGCAGCTCGCTCACACACTTCCCCTGCCCCAAATTCTCCCACTCACTCGCCACTTGTCCCCACCAACCATCTCCCACACTCACACACTGCTCGAAATTGACTCCCCTTTCCCGCCCCCTTGTGGGTCTCCAACAGAGCTACCCACCATTGCCACCCAATCATAGCAGAACATCTCTCATTCTCCCCTCCCAACCAGAGTCACCCACGGTCTCGGCCCCCCTTGTCACCCAAGCCTCCCACCTACATTCCACGATCAGCCTCCAATATACCAAACACCCAATGGGAGCCCACAACCTGTTCCCCTGAGCTGACACCCAAACAAAGCGTATTATTCTCGTTTATTTATTTATTATTCTTATGAATTATTATTGCTATTGTTATTGCTTGTCCTTATCATCATTTACCAATATTCAATAGTTTTAACCATGGCAACCGCTGACCCGGACTGCTGTATGCTGCGCCTGCAACAGGCTGCACGGGCCATTTTCAGGCCCGTGTTGTTTTCAGCCCGAAAGCCTGAAAACAAGGGCCTACAGGCCCTGTGTCGTTTCACCCTGAAAGCCTGAAAACAAGGGCCTACAGGCCCTGTGTCGTTTCACCCTGAAAGCCTGAAAACAAGGGCCTACAGGCCCTGTGTCGTTTCAGCCTAAAAC